AGAACGGTGATAGAGGGCGGAAGGTGAGTGCTAAGAACGACAAGAAACACGCGTATATATATGTGTGTACACTGGATAATCCCAACATATGTTAAGCATATGTGAAGGAAAACTCCAACACATGACGTAATGGAATAGTCCATCCAACATAGACCAATTTAGCTCCCATTCAACCTTGCGTGTAGAACAATGCAACCAAATCAAATCATTTTGTTTGATTGAGCTAAAAGAACTCGTCAAAGCCATGAAGAATTGTTCGGATATTCTGCACGCGTCATGACAAACAAGATTTTCTTACATATTCTATTGTCGTAGACGATAAAAGTTGAGTATTCGTTATTAGAAAACAACGCGAATATTATCAAGACTTTCCAATGTTGTTTATCTATTGAGAAATCTCGTTTGTTTCAGTCGAAAATAAAGAGGTCAGGCATCATCTGAATGCTTTTGATGACATTTCGGATAATATTTCTTCGAAGAGATTCGAGTTTTTTTTCTTCATGATTATCTCGAGAATGAATGATTTTATCTGCACAAGTCATTGTCCTTCCATCAATCAAATTCGATGTGTTTAATTGAGTCAGTAGGATCTCCAGGTTAAATCTCACGATTATGTTCAGATTTCATTTAATTTCAAATCAATTTTTAAAACTTCATGCAAAGTTTTGTCAAATGATGCTGATCAAGACAATTAAACGGAATATATTGAATAAAATGGGAACAAGTTGATAAAACAACACATTAAGCTTATGCAGCTTCAAATGTGGATCTTTTCTCATAGATTGGAGAATATAGAATCCAATCATAGATAAATTTTTCCTGTGACTAACAACATTTGATTTGAAAAGCATTCCGATACATCGTGTAGACGATGATTTCCCCGAAAGGAGGCTGAAACACTCACTGAAACTAATAGCATTCCTTGCAATGATTCAAAACAAATTCTTTTATTTCGATTAGAATTTATTTTCCAATAATGTTCTGCACAGAAAACGGAAGATTTTCTAATTATATTTTATGTTTACATTAACACATTGTTGAACAAATACCAAACTCTATTGTCACTCGATTACAAAATATTGTTTTGTTTCTTTTAATAGAATAAAAACATAGCTGACAACCCTTTCCGTGTGTTTATTCAAAATCAAAACTACAATTTGTCTAACACTTATTTGCTTAGTCACAACAAAACAGAGTATGATATTTCTATGTTAAATACTCTAATGTCGTAATTTTGTAGACAAATTTACATTTGCTCGGAGAGTTTCCGAATACTTGACAAATATTATCATTGATTTGCGTCAATCATTTGTTGTTTAACTATTCTGTGACTTTGAAGGAATCAAAATTTCAGGAACATGACTACTTCCTAGAATGTACCTTGATCAGTGTCAGTATAAGGCAACTAAGATATGTTCATTATAATTAACAATTTACTTACTTGAATTCTCTTTAAAGATTTGAAACGAAACTCGATTTACTACAAAATTCATAGACTTTATGGATTATACTAGACAAAAATCGACATGAACAGAGTTTATATGGATATGATTTATTCCGCGAGTTCTCCAGCGATGTTTTTTTTTTCTCAAAATTCTTTACCATCGTTTAATATCAATCATTCTTTTAAGCGGAATGATATGGAGAACAACAACACGAGTACCATTCCAAAACGCGCTCTTCTTAATTGTGTATCGATATAACTATTAGATACTGCGGCTCAGTTGAATTTTTTTTGTTTCTCGTTTTTATTTACAGGATAAGAGTTCTTTGTATGAGAGAAAGTCTCCAGTCAGAAGACGTCTCATTCCTTTCCAACAAATAGTTTGATCTCTAAAAATTTATTCTAACGGGTTCTTATTTGTTTCTCATTGACGTCAATGAACGAAATCAACGTCAATATATATATATATATATGTAGCTTACCTTCTTCTTTTTCATTCCATTTCTCTCGCTGTTTCAAACAATAGAATATTGGAAGACAATGTACTTGGTTCTGATCATTTTTCTCTTTATCTGCCCGATTAATGCCATTATCCTAAGTCAAGTGTATCGATCTTCAATCTATCACACCAATTCTTCTTGTGCTCGTCTTTCAAATGTCACTTTAGCAGGTAATGCATCGATTCAATCTTGTATTTGGGAATGTGCTCACCAAGATCAATGTCGAACAGCTGTTTATTTTCATGAAAATCGCACTTGTTTGTTGTATAGTGAAGATTGTCAATCAGGTAACGTAACGTCATCTGAAAGTGGTCGAGCGAGTGTTATTTGCTATCGAACAAGTCAAGGATCGAGTACTGAATGTTCTCCTCGAGGTAAGTCAACTACGTAGAATTGCTACAGCTACACGGTGATTTTTCGACTCACTAGGTATCTAGAAGAACTACTTCACGTGGAAGAAAGCGGCTAACATGACAATGAGTAATCTATAGAAAAAAAATCTAAATTTGTGGAGTACTTTTATATATGCGGTGCTTGTGTAAATGATTTCGATAAAAACTATGGATCACGAACACGAAAAGATACACAATTGGTCTAGTATTTGAGTGAAACTATAGGTATTTGAGAACAGAGCAGGCTTTTTAAAATTTTTCAGGTACACTATTTTTATTTAATAGGCGATCAGTTTCTGAATCTGATGAGCTTCAGATTGCTCTTTTACATGAAAGATTTCTCTCTTCTCATTTGCAATCTGCCTTTAGACTGGAAAAATACTGGAAATATGAATGTCGCACGATATTGGCATACAGCATCGATATTATCAAATGGAAAAGCCTTAGTCACTGGTGGATGGACTGGTAGTGTTTCATTGAATAGTGCTGAATTGTATGATCCATCAACTGGTAATTGGACAACGACTGGAAATATGAGTGTTCCACGAGATACACATACAGCATCGATATTATCAAATGGAAAAGTCTTAGTCACTGGTGGATCGGATGGAAGTGTTTCACTGAATAGTGCTGAATTGTATGATCCATCAACAGGCAGTTGGACAACAACTGAAAGGATGAGTGCCGCACGATATCGGCATACAGCATCGATATTATCAAATGGAAAAGTCTTAGTCACTGGTGGATCGGATGGAAGTGTTTCACTGAATAGTGCTGAATTGTACGATCCATCAACTGGTAATTGGACAGCAACTGGAAATATGAGTGTTGCACGATATCGGCATACAGCATCGATATTATCCAATAAAACAGTATTAGTTACTGGTGGATGCTGTCCTGTCAACACCGCTGAATTATATTGAAGTATCCGAAGAAAACGATATATTTCTCTCAAATAATACGTACAAAGTTATTTATAATAACATTACATATAGTAAACGAATAATGAACAGATGATCTTTTGAATTTGAAGAAACAGTGAAAAGTTTAGAATCACATCACAAATTCAGTTCTTCGCTTTGATCGTTATGTATGTACTATTCCTAACTATACATACGAGCGAATGAATGATGAGTACACTACAGATTCCTTTCGATTATTCGAAGCGATTGTAAAGAACCTGACATGATAGTTGTTAGATTTTGTCTGAACTTCCCGAGGTGCATATCTGAAACAACATCACCAATAATCTTTGAAGACTTTTCGTAATTTCACAAATTCTCAGTTAAATCCGGGATCATATAATTTGATGAGATATTGATGCCTTGTCACTCATCTTTATTGTCTTCTAGAGTCACCTAAATTATATCTCAGCCTATCTATTTTGAGTCATTTTTCGAGTAACAATCTGAAACTTCCTTTTCGGTGCCAATTTGCAGAATTCTCATGTTGAAACACTATGTGTATCAAAAGCACAACGCTTTATGTTCGTTGAAATCATAATTAGTATCACAGAGTCGAAGGAAATGGCATCGTTGGATCATTTGATCCAATTTGCATCACTATTCAGCGTAGTTTGTTGAGTTCAAACAATTGAAACTTTTCGGCCATTATCAGTGTGGACGAAATGATTAAATAGCATAAATCCATATATTCAGAATCAGTCTTTGTTAGGTATTGCCCACGACAAACTGTTCATTACAAATGTCGATCTATACTCATATAAATTTCTTCACATGTATATTAGTGAGCTTGATTGTCAACAAAACCAATCTGTTATCCTATTCGTTTAACCGACCATCAATTGATATAGATGGACATAATCGACTTGATGTAATCGTCTATAATTTTCCAAATTTGAAAATGGTAGCACCACTTCTAGAAAAGTGATGAATAATATGCAGAGGTGAAAAAACAGTTACATCGAACATTCACGTTGTCAATGAGAATCTCAAGGGCCAAGTTGATCAATTACAATACTCTACTTTGCGAAAAATTGTTTCATTTGAAAATGACGATAGAGAATATCTTATCTACAAATTGATTTTTTTAAAAATACTTCGCTATGTTATATATGACTATCTCAACGAAAACATCTAACCATATTTCTGCATTTTTACAGATGAAAGCAAAAAGTCTGTCATCGGTTAGTCTTGAAGGCGTGATGACAGAAATATTTACATGGATGAGACCTATAATTTCGTCAATTGGAAAGCTGAGATTAAAATCACTACTGTGTGAGTTCATCGGCTGAATATTGTATGACAATGTGTAGTTCTTGTTATCGAAATAGATGTTCGTATTCACTTCTCGATGGCACGTTCCATCATAGTTAAACAATCAGACCAAACTGAAAAATAAAGATACAATCATGAAACTTTAGCTTCGAGATTCCGGCGGAAAGAAAAACACTTTGTCTCCAATGGCGGTAATTAGTTAATTGTAACAATATACATCTCGATTATTATTAGTGTATATGCACTTATTTAAGGTCGGCAACATTCCAACAAAGGTGACATGGTTCGAGTATTGAAATTTCAGATCGCAGAAGGATTGCGATGTTGTTCTAGATCAACAATGAGAAAGTACATCTGTAGAGTGTCATCGCTTTTCTGTGTTTCTCGTTCAATGAGGATCATTATCTTTACAAAGAATAGGATAAACCGCACTATTATTGATGTGACACGCAACTATCATATTATTCGATCTATGTATGACATTGAATTGATCATACTAATGCGGTATAAAAGATTAACGAAGGGTTTTAGGTTTTGAATGAATCGATCAAAGTACTACTATGCTCAGTCCCGGACACCCTCTGTAAAACATAAAACTATTAGTGTTCTACATCGATTGGTCAGATCTGGTCATTCCGGGTGGCATTTTTCAATGCACATCATATGTCTTATCTTCATTCGCCAATTTAACGGATATTTAATGTTCCGATTGCTGCTCTACCAAAACAATCCCTAGTTCGAGTTGAATTAACTCGTTATTTTATATTTCATATTAATTATCATAAACTGTTTGATGACTTTCAATACACATAAATTATTCTTATTGATTTTACATTCCAGCGATACAGATGAATTTCCTCAACTGCATATTCACGAATGCATCATTTCGACAAACAAAAAATACCTGTCTCACATCGCCCTATGACTACTATCACTTTTCCAAACGCACATCCATAACATGCAAGTCTAAGTTATATCGAATCTGAGCATGGGCATTCCATAAATATATCATTACATTACCGCAGTTTTATGAATTGTTTTATGGGTTTTGACAATCAGTCAAGGAATGCAAGTATTTTTAAATAACAGTGATCAGCACGAATACGATTGAAATTATCTCGATTCAATCGATAATGCTATACTCATTAAAAAAAGAATTGAGACTTGCAGATCCCATTCGACTAGTACACATATACTTCATTGATTGATTCAGTATGCATTGGGCCAACTGATAGTCAGAAATCTAAGTGCGGCGCATTGAGATAACTCTAATCACAAAGAAACAAAATCAAGGCAGATTCGCGGACCACTAAGACTACGAAATTCGCCATCTTCCCTTGATATTTTCACTAAATGGCGAATCTTACTATTTGACTGCGATACAGCCATCATAATTCCAAACATTAGCAAACTCATAACGATCGTACATGATCCAACGAAACGAAGAATAATGATAATAATAACACCATCACCCTCAATTTGTAACGAAAAGAGTTTTGAAATAATGACTGGTCGAAATATTTTCATTCTTCGGTGGTAAAATCGAATCAAACCAAGAAATATTTAGCTAGAAAAAGAGACACCTTCATTCTACATACCTGATTTAGTTTTGAAGAGTAACGCAAAAATAATTCAATCCATTCAAGATCATAAAAACAGTCCAGTGTGTTTCAGAGAACTACTCCAAGAGGAGTAGATCTTACGAATAATCCTTTCTTAAGTATAGAATTATCCATTGACTTTATGACAGTTCGACGAATGAATTCGAAGTACACATCTGATGACGAAACAATAGTAGCTGGAATGACTGAATTGACTCTGTCGCATCCTCGATGAGCATTCGTTCCGTGAGGAGATGCTACTTGTGCTTCTCGGAACGCAAAATTAGCAGTATGGCGGACTAGTATTTGAATCATCCAGTTGATGTCGAGTGCTGAAACCAGGTAATGTTCTTGATTTGTTGTTTTCGAATAATTGAAAAATGACGTTGCCTGATGAGATGAATGATTTTTGCGGAAGTCAACTAGATTATTGACTTGTCGACGAATTTTCGTTTCTGAAATGAGTTCAATGGTGAAAAAGTCGGTATTGTTAATATCGTTTCGATTTCGATCAATAGTCTTCTTCGTGAAAGACTAAAATGTCGACAGCAATTGTGAAACTAAATCAAAACTGAGATACTTTACAAAGGGCAGAAGTAATTTGATTTCGAAATCGATTTTCACTAACCTGGGAATAGGATGTTGTTAGAAAATCCCACACATCATTAAGACTTGCAATTTTTCAAATAGAATCTTTCCGAGTATTGACTATCGATAAAAATATTCGAACAAATCGGATGTAGTGTAACATTAGTGAAGACGAGATCTTTGTATGGTATTATACTTGTTCCATACGGACATGAATTTGTATGAAAGAGTGGAGTAAAAGACATTCACTTCGAATTCTTTACCCACAACATTCAAACCCGTTTTGTTCTTTTGATGTTTGAGAAGTACGATCGGATTTTGGGTTTTGTTATTGTCCCAATCATTTTCTTGTAATATGAAAGGATTATAGTTGGATATCTTTTTTGTAAATCCATTGGCGATAACTTTTCACATTCTTGCTGCGGAATGAAGTTTCTCCACAAAATGAATTATTGAAATGGCTTCTTCTGAAATGAAGATATTTTGTATATCCTGACCTGCTGCTATGGTTTCACGAGATACATCAGTTAGCTTTCCAAAGCAGTGATTGTCTGAAAAAAAAACACTTTATTGAATTAATGTGTTGTCGATAGAATCTGGAACATGTTTTAGCATGGCAAACAACCGGTTTTCAAAAGAGAACATCGCTAACTTTCGAAAATAGTTCAGTCGAATTAAGTCGACTGTTTTGACTTCTTTTCAAGTTTAAAAAAATTTATTCACACTCTTTGGCCACATAGACAAATAATACAAAAGAAAAGTATTTGACGGTATTCCTCTGCAACAAAGTACAAGTGAAATGGATTCGCAGAAAGACGAACTTGTTCACAAGAGACATAGAAACATACACACTTGAATGTAAAGTACTCTGCTATAAGAACAAATGATGAATATTTCTTATAGAGTGACATATTCTTTTGGTGTTCACTTGTTTATGATAAGTGTAAACTCTAGAAGATTGATGCTTATATATACTATTAAATGAGAACCACGAACAGAGACAACGCTTGTTCACTATTTGACGAAAAGATTTATTGGATTTGGTTTTAGCTGTTCAATTCATTCCCAAGTTTGTTTGTCTTTTAACTCCAATTGTTGTCACTGTTCTCATTCAACTTGTTTATTGCTGTTGATAATGCGATCGTAGCTATTCAAAAACAAGAAAAATACAATTTTTGGATATTTATATCTTTTAAGATGGTGATTAAAAGTTATAAATGCGATTCAACGACTCCCTTTATCTTATTCTATAACTATACTCAGCAGTCGATTGCACGTATTCACTTCACTTCATTTTCTTTATTGATTTTAATGCAATAAATAGATGAAAGAGTGGAGTCTTTCTCAAAGATTACTTCGGCATTCACACATTCACCTTCTATTTTATAATAACAACATGTTGTCCTTTTGGACAAAACTGATATTTATTGTTCTTATTCTTTGTTCATTTTCATCGTTGAGTGTACAACAATATACGCCTGATTGGGCATCTCTCGATGCACGTCCTTTGCCGAGATGGTATGACGAAAGCAAAGTAGGTATTTTCATTCATTGGGGACTTTACAGTGTTCCAGCTATTGCTTCCGAATGGTAAAACTATTTTTAATAAACGGTGTCTGTTACTTCTTGTTCTTATCCGCAGGATGTGGTGGCAATGGAAAGGTAAAAATCCGGACCAAAGCGTTATCGATTATATGGCAGCAAACTATCCACCGGATTGGACGTATGCAGATTTTGGTGCACAGTTTCGTGCAGATCTCTATGGTAAATTGCCGTGCGATACTTCACTGATAACTTCTGTTTATTTCTGATCCAAACGAATGGGCGGATCTATTCGCTGCGTCTGGTGCCAAGTGAGTTGATGTGTTTATTACGTAGAACAGAACTGTATTTTCAGATTTATTCTATAGGTATGTTGTACTTACCAGCAAGGTGAGTTGCATAGTTCTTGTAACGTTGGAAACATAGCTTTGTATAGCATCACGAAGGTTATGCTATGTGGCCATCAACATTTTCATTCAATTGGAACTCGATGCATGTCGGTTCTAAACGAGATTTAGTTGGTTAGAGATTTGACTTTTATTTTTCTTTCAACTTTCGGTGTTTCTCAGGAGAATTAGCCGCAGCTGTTCGAAACCGAACGAATCTTGTTTTTGGTTTGTACTATTCTCTCTTCGAATGGTTCAATCCATTGTATCTACGTGACAAGTCGAAAAATTTTACCACTCAAGATTATTCAAAAGTAATATGTATTAATTCTTAATATTTCAAATCTAAATTTGAATTCTGCAGACAAAAGCCATACCTGAATTGAAAGAAATGATTGAAACATATAAGCCTGAAATCGTTTGGTCTGATGGCGAATGGGGTCCGTTGATAAAAGTTGCTCGTTCTCTTCCAATATATTATATGTTCATTTAGAACCATACGCTGCCTATTGGAATTCAACACAAGTTTTAGCTTGGCTCTACAATGAAAGTCCGGTGAAAACTACTGTTGTAAGTAAAGAAAACGACTGAGAACTGGTTAGTCCATCTATGCCTAGGTGACCAACGATCGATGGGGTCGTGAAACGTCGTGCACACATGGTGGTTTCTACACTTGTTCGGATCGTTTTAATCCAGGACATTTAATCGATCACAAATGGGAAAATTGTTTCACAGTATGAGCAAGAATTTCTTCTTATCATCTAGTTTTGTTTTGTGTAGATTGATAAACAATCATGGGGATATCGTCGTACTGCGAACATTGCCGATTATATGACGATTGAAGAAGTACTTAGTGAAATAGTGACAACGGTCAGCACAGGAGGAAATGCATTGGTGAACGTAGGTCCTAATATGCATGGAAAAATTCCGCCGATATTTCAAGAACGTCTGCAACAGATGGGATTGTGGTTGAAAGCGAATGGCGAAGGAATTTATTTGTCGGTACCATGGAAATATCAAAATGATACAATCAATTCTGATGTTTGGTAAGTTTATTTATAACTGTCTGAAAGTTATTCCAATATGTGTTCAATGGTAGGTATACTTCGTCGAAAGATGGTAGATATGTGTACGCTTTCCTTCTTATCTGGCCGAAGAATACCACTGAAATCACATTGGGTGCTCCGTTAACTTCAGCAAGCACAGTTGTAACAATTCTCGGTTCAAATGGTGATTCTCTTCAATGGAAAACAGCGAATGGTGATCGTGGTATTGTAATTGATACGTCGAATATCAAACTTCATCTACTCGAAAGTCAATGGGTGTGGACATTTCGATTGACAAATTTATTAACTGACAATACTACGTTGCCCACGATTCAACAAACAACGTCGACTGCACAGTCAACTCCTCGAGGAAATGCGAACATCTCTTTTTCTTCTTCTTTCCTGCTGTTCGTGCTTCTTTGTGTTTTTATTTTATGTAACAATGTTAGCATCATTTGCCGTACTTGAGCAATACAAATAGAATAAAAAACCTATATTTTTATTGTATACATCAATGAGTTAAGAAAGAGTGACAGAAATTGATACACCTGATCCATTAGCTCCAGACTTAAGCCAAAAACTGACTATATAGGATTGTCCTGCCGTAGCCACAAACGATTGGCTAAGTTGATCGGTGTGCGAGTTACATCCATCGGCATAGCCATAGCTACCCGTTCGACGGTAGGATGAACTAATATAACCTGTTGTGCCTGAACCACAACCAGTCGGTGCGACGCGTGTCCATCCAGGCGAGAATGAACCTGATTCAAAATCTCCATTGCTTAACATTTGAACAGCTCCATTATATACTGAAACATCGTCTAGAAACCAGTAACTCGGATTATGTTGAAATGAAAATGTAAGAGTGACAGTGCCGCTGATAGTCGGTATCCATTCATACGCATAACACGCATATGATGAAGTGGTGCCAGACGATGCTGTCAATAGAGTACTGGCAGAACCTACAGGATTTGGTGTACAGGGTGGTACTGGAGTAGTTGCTGTTGATTTATCAAAGATTCATGTAAATAATAGATATACAATGGAGGAAACGGAAATCATTTACTTGTGGTAGCTGTTGATGTAGTTGCTGGAGAGCAGACAGAAATTGTTTACACAAGGGAATGAAGTTAGAATATTCACTTACTCGTAGTTGTCTCACTTGTACTCGCTGGAAAAAGAGAGTCAAAGTGTTATTTGAGGATATTCAGAGAATAGTCATGAAAAAGAGAACCTACATGTTGTTGAAGTACTAGAACTAGTTGTCGAAGCTATTAATCAAAAGAACAAAACATGGAAGAAAAATGTGAATGTGCAAAATATGTCACTTGCTTGAACTCGTGCTACTACCTAAAAAATAATAACAAAAGCGAATTATTATGAACATGAAAGAATAGTTTTATCCTGTACTGGTGGTTGTGGCTAGAAAAAGAGAACGAAAACTGTTTATGACTTAACGCGAATGTCAGGAGAATGATATACCGGATGTAGTCGAAGTTGAAGTTGTAGACGTAGAGCTGGTGGTAGTCGTTGTTGTTCCTTTATTTGTAAGAAGTGCAATGAGCAGGGCAGTGAGTCCAGCAAGAATAGCGATCAGTGCGAGAATGCCACCTGCACAGCAGCAGCAACACCAACTGGAATAAGCGAGACCACAGCGACGACGGCGACGACGATGATGTTGTTTTCGTTTATCAGAAATAGATGGCTGTACACACGGAAAAGGTAGGAAATCATACCGAATACGGAATTCAGACTCACTGTCACTGCCAACCAGTCGCTATGCGATTCACTTATAGGTGTTATAGCTCTAAGGTACGACGGAAGTCTCTTGATCTCTAAGACAGGAGAATCGTGTATAGTTGTAGGATTGGCCGATTGAATTGCGGCAGATGGAAGTGTTGAAATAGCTACATCGTTAATACAACGATTGTTTTTTATTTTCTTGATATGAAAATGAAACAATTGGTAAAATAATCATTAGGAGAAGAAAGATGACGCATTCAAATATATCTAACCCGCTCTGTAGCACTGGTAGATGGAAAAGAATGCACCGTTGGAGATTCACTACGTGCAATGCGTCTGACATTGACCGATGCCTACAAGAAAAAAAAAATGCTTAATTAGAGAATATTTTCCCCGTATTTACCGTTGTTAGAATCTTCTTTCGACCTTGAGACGAACGTCCATGCCGACTCAGCGATTGCGATTTCATTATTGTCCTATAATGACAACTTCTATCGTTACACTTTTCAATAAGTAGAAGTAAACAACAAACTCAATCTTATGATTCTGAATGGCAAGATTGCACACATTGATTTTTTATGGGTTTTTTTATTTCGGATGAAAACTAATAAACTCGTTCTACATTTCACAGATCAAGAATGAAGTACAGAACCGAATATACGATGCACAATAGCTTGTCAGTGCATACTGTAAATTAATTAAGCAATATATTCTGAGTACAAAATAACAATAACCTCCTTCAAGTCGAAATGTATTATTCTGAGGATCGATTATTCATTTCTCAAGACAGAATGTATAAGGAACGAATGGAAAAAAGAACGTTAGGAAGTATCTATACAGTGCGAGCTAAAATTTCTAATACGTAGTAATCGCTAGAGCATGAAACGCACTTAGTACGTTCTGAGAGGATGTCCTTTTCAACGTAAAAGCTAAAAAACAAACGCATTTTGGAGGCTGAAATTATCATCGCTATAAATAACACTGTACAATCGTGTTTGTATATATAGAGCATTGATATCGACCCAATTTCATTCACTCATAACTCAAACCAAGAAAAAGTAAGTACTACGGTAATGAAACTAGAATAATAACCTATTTAATGTTTTCTTCTTTGTAGTTGTTTGAAACCGAAGCTTCAAATGAATAGATCAGTTTCGATCATCGCGCTTATTTTCGCGTGCCACTTCTTCGCAGCACAACCATTCGATATCGACTCGATGGAGAGTTCAGAAGAAAGCCGTCCATATGCTCGTCTTCTATCCTTCCTCAGAAGAGATACTAAGATCGATTTAGGCATTAAACCAAAAGACGGCGTAGATGGAGCCGCACTACAGGAACAATATCGTTCATACGTGAAAAAATTTGCTCCAGAAATTCGTTTTGATCGTGCTGCCGCAGGATATCCAATGTCTGCTCAAACTTATTACGATGCCATGAAGGCAGACACTTCAAGCTCATTTCGAAAAGAAAATACAGACAGAAATACACTTAAGGACGGTGGTTGTCCAACTTATTATAGACTTCGTGCTGATGCAAAGCAAATCCGTATTCTTTACTGGTGGTTCTATGGTTATCAACATCCATGTTACGAAGGAAAAGGTGCACATAATGGAGATTGGGAACATGTTATGGTTACTCTTAGTGAAGATAACAGTAAAGTGGCTGCTGTTACTTTTTTTCAACACGACGGACATTACACGCGTATCTCAGGTCCACGTAAGGCTCCATGTACTCCATCAGGTACAGGCCGTTGCGCTGGTTCTAGCGGTTTCGATAGCGCTGGCGATCATCCAGTCGTCTATGTAGGAAAACTTGCACACGGCTCTTATCATGATAAAAACTCAGTTGGTCCAGCAGGTGTTGGAAATTGTGCTTACTATGCTGACTTTCGTAATCCAGGATCAGACGCTGATTATATGCACACTTGGGAAAATCTTGTTAGTCTCGATGGGGATGATGAAGCTTGGTTAGCTGCTGACGAGCAAGAACGTTTTTCATGGGGTCCCGATGGCATTAGTACTCATCCAACTAGACAGAGCCCGTTTGATTCAAATCATGAGCGTGCTTGTGTAGGAAGTGCAACATATAAAGTAGAAAGTGCCGGTTGCTATCAATCGGAATGTTTGGCAGGTGATGATGAAGCTTCCCAAAATTGCTTGAAACAATGTGAACCTGGTTATACCAATATGGGATTAACTTGCACCAACGCAAGACTGAGTACTTATGGTCGCTTAAATAAAGGAAAATATTATAATTATGATTACATTATACCAAAAGTAGAAGCTGGTTTAAGTCGTCGTCGTAGTGGAAAAAGTGAATGGAGTTTACCTTAATCCATTACATCTTTTTATAAACTTTCTAATTTCTTTTTATCTCAGTTGTAGTGCTCAAAAATAGTTGCTTTACTTTTTCTACTAAAACATCTCATATATTTATCGTAACATTTTTCAATAATCAATAAAGTATTTCCCACTCAATTTGTTTTATTGTAACTGCTGTCATAAAAAATTTCAAAGTTTATCACCAGAATGATTTTCGTTGAGAGAAACGCGACAATATCGAACATCGATTGAAGACAGTAAGTTTGCCTCGTCGATGCAATTATTGACACACCCTCAAGCTATACTTGTCGAGTTTTGAAGCTGCATAATGAAGATATATGAAACGATCTCACTTCGTTCTTTAAACTTTGACAACAAAAATCTGCGATTTATTTTACGATGTTTAAAAGTGGAAATAACAACGATTGTCAGGCTTTAAATGAACATAAGTACGAGATAGTACTGAAAAATACCAAGTACGAAAAAAGTACGAACGTGCAATGAAGCGTAGAAGTTTACCTATTTTTCTTTTTCAAGGTGTGTGTTTGTGGGCCTTCTATACCCCCCCCCCCCAGATAAACGCTCGTACGGTTTTAAGGTAAAGTATTTTCGCTTCACTAATCAATCATATCGTGCACTGAGGAATGTGCAACGACTTTGAGCCGTAATTCATTTAAACTATATTCAGGTTTACCAAATATTTTAGCAATATTGAAATTGAGAGCAAAGTATTAAGTATATCTGTATGTATATTTATTACTTTCCTGTTAGTGGAGAATACAAAGGCATAGCATCAATTATTCAGGAATAAATATTATATATATATATA